TGGGGTAAATTGGGTATCCATCCCCTCCAGCAATTATCCTTTGTGTTTCAAACAATCCAATTATAATACTTTAGTTATTTTTAAATGTACAATTACATTATTATTGACTATAGCCACCCTGTTGCTACCGATACTACATTTTACTCATTCTATTTTTTATACCCTTAACCATCCGTCTTTCTCCCCTAACACCACCTGCCACCTACCCTTCCTGGTAGCTGGTAACCATGTCTCTCTCTCTCCATAAATTCCAATTTGTTTTAATTTTTAGCTCGCTAAATGAGGAACATCCCCATGTTCAAGTTTTAGACGCATAATAATTACGTTAAACACCTTATAGTATAGCGCTTCACTGATGCTAACAGGTTAATCTCACAACAACCTCTAAAGGAAGTGCTGCTATTATCTCCATTTTTTCTGGATGAAAACACAGCGTCAGCAAGTTACTTGCTCAGTTGCCCAGCCCATAAATTACAGTTTGGGATCTGAACCCAGTCAGCCCAATGCAGGGTTCTTGCTCTCGGCGCCAGGGTCACAGCTCCCTCAAGGAGGAGGTGAAATAACATAGCTCCGGATGCATGTGGGCTATTCAGGCAGCATGGTGCAACAGCAGCGACTGGAAGCTTAACGCAAGTGTCCATCAAAGAAAGCAGGGACTGTGGCGGGTGGATCACAAGGTCAGGAGTTCAGGACCAGCCTGGCCAAGATGGTGAAACCCCGTCTCTGCTAAAAATACAAAAATTAGCCAGGTGTGGTGGCAGCGCCCCACCATGTTCAGCTACTCGGGAAGCTGAAGCGGAGAATCACTTGAACCCGGGGGTGGAAGTTGCAGTGAGCCAAGATCACGCCACTGAAACCAAGATCAGAACAAGACTCAAACTCTCAGAACAACAACAACAACAAGAGAAATGAGACCGGATTAATAACTTGCGTATACCTCTACGTGAGGCCTGCACACCAGCTGATGAATGATCTAAATCTACTATATGTGGCAACACACAGTTGACCCTTCAAACTGGGTTTGAACTGTGTGAATCCACTTATTCCTGAGATTTTCTTCCATCTCTACCACTCCTGAGACAACAACACCAAAGCTTCCTCTTTTCCTCCTCATCTGCCTACTCAATGAGAGATGACCAGAAGGAAGGAAGCAGTGATGATCCACTTCCACTTAACAAATAAATACATATTCTCCTCCTTCAGATTTTCTTAATAGCGTTTATTTCTCAGCTTTATTGCAAGAATACAATATAGGAGAAATACCTACAACCTTGTCACAAAATGTGTGTTGTTCCATGTTTATGGTGTTGGCAAGTCTTCTGTTCAATGGAGTGAAGTTTTGGGGGCAGTCAAAAGTTACAGGAAGTGCTGACTGCATGAAGGAGTCAGTGCCCTCCCTCCCCTCATTTTGTTTCAAAGTCAGCTGCTTAAGTCTTGGAAACATAATGTTTTTGTTTTTGAGACAGTCTCACTCTGTTGTTGAGGCTGGTTGCAGTGACATGATCTCAGCTGCTGCCTCCTCCTGAGTTCAAAGACTCCTGCCTTAACCTCTGAGTAGCTGGGATTACAGGCGCTACCACCATGCCTGGCTAATTTTATTTTAGTACCAGACAGGGTTCCACCTGTGTTGGCGGGCTGGTCTCAAACTCCTGACCCTCAAGTAATCCACCTGCCTCAGCCTCCCAAGTGCTGGGATTACACGCGTGAGTCACCTGGACCGGCCTTGGAAACACAATGTTTCAAGAAAATTGCAATTTACTAAATGATACATAGAATTTAACATTTATGGAAAGTGTGGAAGCAATACTATATATTGTTTGTGGTTGACACATGTACTTAAGTAAAAAAAAGGTACAAAAATTAAAAGTAAGAGAGGAGAAAAGGAATGGTGTCAGGGAAGTACCCAGCAGGCTTCCACTGTATATGTAACATTTTGTTTCTAATCAAAAGAATGTCTGAAACAAAAGAAATTACAAATGTGCTTTGAAAAGTGCAGGCTGGGCTATGAGCCACACCTGTGATCCAGCACTTTGGGAGGCTGAGGTAGGCAGGTGCTTGAGGCCAGGAGTTCCAGACCAGCCATTATGCCTTGGTGAAAACCATCTCTACTAAAAATACAAAAAAATTAGCCAGGCAGGGTGAAGCACACCTGTAAAGCCAGCTACACGGGAGGCTGAGGCGAGAATTGCTTGAATCCAGGAGGTAGAGGCTGCAGTGAACTGAGATCACACCACTGCACTCTGGCCTGGGTGACAGAGCACGACTCTGTGTCAAAAGAAAGGAAGGTGCAAGGCAGGACCACATTGCACACTGAGACTGCTGTGATCCCAGATCCCCCTTACAAGGAATGGGGAGCGCGGGAAATCCTGCCCCATCCTCAGCACTTCATGCCACGCCTGGATAGCACAGGTGGTTAGCCTCTCTCACTCACCAAAGACAGCTTCCAGCCTTTTCCCTCTTTCCCCAACTCCTCATATAAGACAGAGAGGAATGTTTCCCAGGCAGTGTGCCAGATGGCTCCCTTCCTCAGAAATTCTCCCATGTGGCTCCCCAGTACCCTCAGAAGCAAGCCCACACTCCTTTCCAGGGTCAACATTTACCTCCACAACCTGGGCCCTGCTGCTTTGCCAGCCTCACCTGTCACCATTCTTGTTCCCACACCCTGCAGAAGCCACGTCAGATGCATGCCGACCACCTCATTCCCTCTCGCCAGTGATTTTCTCACATGATAATTTTGCACATGTGACCTTTTTCTGGAAAAGGCCTCACCCCCGCCAGCCTTGGCCAGTTAGTGCCTGGAGTCCTCACCTGTGCACAGTGCATCCTAGGAGAAGTCAGGCAGGCCATGCCAGGAGACTGGCAGCCGGCCCTCCACTCCGATGAAGGAAGAGTCAGCCATTTCCCACAGCCCCATCACACTTTCCCAGGGTTTGAATCATTGTAGTTGTTGTTGTTGTGACAACTCACATGTACAATCAGTGGTAAAATTCAGCTTCTTTCATTCAATACCAAATGAACGTCACGAAAATAGCTTCGTAAGACAAAAGGACAAAATGACACCTTTCTTCCCACTAAGTCCAAAAATGTCCCCTCTGGCTAACCAAAAGGGTACCTGTTCCATCTGCTCTTTCTGTCCTGCCTCCTCCTCCTCTTTCCAGCAGCATGGCCTTGAGCAAATCCTCCTACCTTCCCAGGCCTCAGAGCCATTGACAGGAGTAAGCCACAGGTGGTGATAGGTTGGGCGTGAGGGAAATCAGCTAGCAATCACTTAATAAATGCCTCCTGTCAGCCTGTCATGATGCAGGTGTGTGGCTGATGGCGAACAGATGTGCTTCACTGAGCTTTCATTCTAACAGAAACCAACATTAAAGAAAAATTAAGAAGGCAGGTGCCATGGCTCCACACCTGTAATCCCAGCACTTTGGGGGCCGAAGTTGGAAGATTGCTTGAGCTGAGCCCAGGAGTTTGAGACCAGCCTGGGCAACAGAGGGAGACCCCACCTCTACAAAAAATAAAAACAAACCATTATCCAGGCATGATGGTGCACCTGTAGTCACAGCTGCATGGGGGTTCAACCCAGGAGGAGGATCAGTTGGAAGCAGGACGTCAGGACTCAGTGAGAGCTCTGATGGCACCACTGCACTCCAGCCTGGGCAAGGTGAAAACCTCTCTCCTAGAAGAAGGAATACGGTTTGCACTCCCTGAATATATATGTGTAGTGAATATAGTATGGAAGAAAGGAGGATTTGACAGTAGCCTTGGACCAATCTTTTGGACATGACTGCTATCTCGGAAATGGCAGTGTGAGCCACCTGGTTGATGTTTCCTAATTCCTAGATTAATGGAGAGAAAGAAAATGGTATACCCAATCCACTCAATGTTGCCTTCTTTAGTGAAAAAGAATAACTTTATGAAGCAGCAACATGTTTATAAACTGGTCTTGGAAAATGAACATATCACCCACTTATTTAATGAAAAGATGCAGAAAGGGGTGAACAATTAAAATACAAAACCCAAAGGCAATGGCGCGGTGCAATGGCTCACACCTATAATCCCAGCACTTTGGGAGGCTGAGGCAGGAGGATCATGCCCAGAGCCCAGGGTTCAGATCAGCCTGGGCAACATAGCAAGGCCCTATCTTAGCAAAGCAATGGTTCTTAAACTTGGGTATACAGTTGGGAGGAGCTTGATGGCGAAGATCGCTGGGCGCCTCTCCCTCCCAAATTAATGATTCAGCCGATTAGGGTAAGACCAAGAACTTTTATTTCTTTATTTATTTATTGAGACACGTTCTCCCTCTTTTGCCAGGCGTGGAGGTCAATGGCGAGATCATGGCTCATTCGTGACCTTGAGCTCCTGGGCTCAGAATTATCCTCCCACCTCTGCCTCTTGGGCCGCTACAGGACTACAGGTGTGCACCACCACACCCGCTAGTTTTCTTTTTATGGACATGAGTCTTTTTTTTTTTTTTTTTTTTTGAGGCGGAGTTTCCTCTGTCGCCCAGGCTGGAGTGCAGTGGCCGGATCTCAGCTCACTGCAACTCCGCCTCCCGGGAATTCGCCGTTCCTCCTGCCTCAGCCTCCCAGTAGCTGGACTCTGGCGCCCGCCACACCTCGCCCAGCTGATTTTGTATTTTTGGCGAGGCGGGTTTCACAGGTTGGCCAGGATCGTCAGTCTCTCAGCCACCCGTGATCATCCCCGTCTCTGCCTCCCAAAGTGGTTGCAGGCTTGAGCCACCGCGCCCGGCCCGGACATGTGGGGTCTTACCATGTTGTCAGGTTAGTCTGAATTCCCGGCCTCAAGCGATCCTCCTCCAGTTTAAAGTGTTGGGATAGGCTGAAACCCCACGGCTCGATCAGAACTTACACATTTCCAACAAGATCCCAGGTGATGTAGTGATGCTGGTTTTGTGGCTTGTGCTGAGAACCACAGCTTCAGAGCAGCTGGGAATACCTTTGGGGACTCACTAGCATTAACCCTGCTTCACTGAGTCTCTTTTCTCACAAGAGGAAGGTAGGAAGCATAATATTATAATAGGGCAGAAGGGTCTTGGTTTCAGCTTCGTGCTGGGAGAACTTGGGGCAGCCTGCGAGCTCCTTCCCATCCACATCCCCAGCCAGCTGCTTCATCACTTGGAGGTGCTTTACCAACACCTGGATATTACCTTGATAGAAACCAATTCCCGTTGCTGTAGCTGAAGATGGGTGGGGTGGAAGCCACATCCCAGAAGGATTCTGAGGCAGGCATCCCATCCTGAGCAGGCATGGTTCTCCCCACTGGATGAGATCTTATCTGAGAGAGAGAAGTGCTCCTCTCCACTTTTTTCTTTTAAAGCCTCCCCCACCGCTCTGCTCACCTGGGTTGTCTCTGCTTTGAAGACTCACCCCTAGTGGTTTTCTTATTTCACCCAGGGGGCACCAAAAAAAAAACAAGAAAAAGTTTTGTTCCCCCCATCCCCAAGGTCCTGAGACTCACTCACAGAATGATCCTGCTTGCCAGAAAAACCCAGAAACACCCCAGAGGCTAGTGATGGCCAAGGAAGTGCAGACAACCCCTCTCCTGGGGCTGATGACTGTGCTTTCAGCCTCTCCTGAGAGCAGTGACCACATCTCCTTCTACTCCAAGGACTCCTCTCACAGGTGGGGGATTTTTAGGTGTGCCAGTCAGGAGTGGGAGGACAGAACACAGCACCCTTCCAGGACTCACGATGATGAAAAACTTCAACCCCAAAATTAAAATAAAAATACAGAAAAGCACAAAGCAAATGGTAGCAATTGCCTAAATGACCCCATACCACAAAAGCCCTCACACCATTTTAATAATCTGGCATGTTTTCCAGTGTTTTTTCTATGTATACTTAAAAATTGTAACTCATATACCAAAATCATTAGCATTTTGTTTAGAAAAGAAAAATTGGACAGCAGCTGTGTTAGATGTACAGAAAAGAAGCAAACAAACATTGTGTTTGTTGTATCCTATTGCCAGATAAGCTAAAGGAAGGTCAGCAAACTGTAGCTTATTAGGACAAATCTGGCTGAATATTCATTTATACAACACAAGCTGAAAATAGTTCCCATTTTTTAAATGGGGAGAAAAAAATCAAAGGGAGAAACTCCGTATTCTCCACTCGTATGTGGGAGCTTAAAAGTGGGTCACGGAGGTAGAGTAGATTGAGAGGCATTACCAGAGCTGGGAAGGGAAGGTGGGGAGGGAAGGATGAAAGAAGAAGTTGGATAATGGTACAGAAATACAGTTAGGTAGAAAGAAATAGAGTTCTTGTATTCCAGGCCGGGCATGGTGGCTCATGTCTGTAATCCCGCACTTTGGGAGGCAGAGGCAGGTGGGTCTGCTTGAGCTCAGGAGTTTGAGACCAGCCTGGGCAACATGGCAAAACCACTGTCTCTACAAAAGAAATACAAAAATTAGCCAGGGTGTGGTGGCACGTGCCTGTAATCCCAGCTACTCAGGAGGCTGAGGTGGGAGCATTGCTTGGGCCCAGGAGGCAGAGGTTGCAGTGAGTAAGATTGCGCTGGTGCACTCCAGCCTGGGTGACACAGTGAGACCCTGCCTCAAAAAAAAAAAAAAAAAAAAAAAAAAAAAGTTCTTGTATTCAATAGTACAGCAAGGAAATTATAGTTAACAATAATGTCTTACAGATTTCAGAATATATCAGAAGAGAAAAAATTGCATTGGGTAATGTCCCCAACACAAAGAAGATAAAAAGATAAATGTTTGAGGATGGGTATCCTGATTACCCTGACTTGATCATTATATTTATTAATATGGGTATCAAAATATCACATCTACCCCCAAAATATGAATCAATATATTTTAAAATATAAAAAAGTAATACAAATATTTGTGTAATACATGACAATGAAATTCAAATTTCAGTGGACATAAAGTTTTACAGAGGTACAGCCTCACCCATTCATTTACCTAAAACACTTCTGTGATGCCAGCAGGGTTGAAATTAATTTGTAGAACCATGTGCCCCCCACAATGTGAACTATTTATTACCTAGTTCTTTACAGAAAAAGTTTGCCAGCACCTACTCAAAGTCTGAGTGGGGAATAGTAATTGTTTGTTACCAATCTGCAATGAGATAAACACGAAATTGAGAGTAAGACTTTAGAAACTTTGACTGGGCATGGTGGACTCACCCCTGTAATCCCAGCACTTTGGGAGGGTGAGGCAGGAAGATCTTGAGTCCAGGGTTCAAGACCAGCCTGGGCAACATAGTGAGACCTCCGCCATCTCTTAAAAAAAAAAAAAAAAGAAGAAGAAGACTTCTAATAATTTGATAATCTATTTTAATTGTTAATTTAAAAATTTTAAATTGAATAGTTGTTGTATTTTCATTGTGCATTTCTGGTCTTTCATTTTTATTATATTCTACCAACTTTTCAGTCTATAAGGGATCAAAAAAGGTAAAACACAAAAACTGATCCCTCACTACAGATAATGTGTGTTTTAAAAACATTCTTTTTTTTTTCTTTTTTTTTTGAGGAGTCTCTCTGTCGCCCAGGCTGGAGTGTGGTGGCGCCATATGACCTGGCTCCCTCCGGGTTCATGCCAGGCTCTCACCTCCAGCCTCTCCAAGTAGCTGGGTTCCAGGCACCTGCCACCGCGTCCCGCTAATTTTTGTATTTTTAGTAGAGATGGGGTTCACCCGTATTAGCCAGGATGGTGTAGATCTCCTCATGATCCGCCCACCTTGGCCTCCCAAAGTGCTGGGATTATAGGCGTGAGCCACTGCGCCCAGCCAAGAAACATTCTGTCAATACCAAAAATTGATACTAACTTGCCTGTTTTTGGTGTTGTTATTGTTTTGTTTTTTACCTCAGCAATATCTCTGAGACATGCCACATGTTGAATCACGTAAGTCTTGTGCCACATCCTTTGTCTATTGCATGATAATATTACCCATGATTATTTGCTCATTCTCCTTCTGAGGACACGTAGGTTGTTTCCAGTTTTTGCCAGTGCAGACAACGCTGCTCTGAGCATCTGACTCTATCTCCTGTACAGATGTGGGAGAGATTTTCAGGGTAAACACCCAGTGAAGAAATAGCTGGGCCTCCAGATTTCTGCATCTTCAACATTAGTAGAATCTGTCCAAATTCTAATTTTTGCAATGTTAGCACCAGTTTATCTTGCAGCTTGCTGATTTTATTCCCAGTCATACAAACAGTAATGGCTGATGTCTGGTTGGGTTTAAATTCTGGCTTTGAGCAAGCTTTGGGCTTTTTGGCGTTGAGGAGGAGGCGAGAGGTTTGCCTTTTCCCCCTCCTCCCTCCCTGTATCTCAATTTCCTCAGTTTCACCCTGCCGCTGTGAGCTGACCTGACCTGAAGGCCTTACCTGGACCCTGATTTTCATAAACCTCCCTCCAGGTTCTCATTACACCCGAGCTCAGCATGGTGGTTCTCTCAACTCATTAACCAGAACTGCCCTGGGAAGCAGGGTTCTGGCAACAAGTGACAAGTGGAAGCGACAGAAAGAATCGCTGCTTTTGTGTCTCTGGTACATGGAGCATGAGCAGCACAGGAGAGTCCCCAATCATATTCAATAGATGTGAAGAAGCGAAAGACGCTAGGCTGTCATTTATTGAACAGCTTCTCATCAAATTAGGTGACCAGGTGTCTGAGAATTACCAATGGGGAAAAAAAACCCCATGGCCCTTGGTTAGATGAAACAGATCTCAGAGAGATGGCTCATTTGCCTGCGTCACAGGGTCAATGGTAGGAATCTGGGACTTGGCTCAGCTGCACCTGGCCCAGGCCTCTGGCTCCACTGCCTGGCTTGGGGGGCTGTTTTCCAGTGCCTCTGTTAGGAAGCCCACCCCCTGTGGCTTCCTCCCCCGTTTCTGCCAGGCTCAGCCCTTCCTGAGCACTGATCTGGCTGCTGAGTCCAGCTCTCCAACACTGAGAACTAGTCCCCCTGGACAGGTTCCCGGGCAGGCCTCTTGAGCTGGCAGAGACAGTGGTCATCCCACCTTCATAAGCCTCTGTGCTCGGCTGCCTCCTCCACCCATCTGCGCTGAAGGCTGAGGTTGGGAACTGCTGAGTAACATCTATAGACCATGAGTGAGAGGAGAGGAAGGAGAGAGAAAGGTGGAGGTTGGAAAAAAGCAGGGGAGTGCAGAGCAGGAAAAGCCAGAGGGCCAGGAGGAAGAACAGGAAAGGCGACTGACGGAAACCGACAACGTGGCAGAGGAAGATAGGAGCGCTCAAGTTTATAAGGGCATTTGGTTTGGATGAAACTCCTGCCAGGCCCCACTAAGCCAAACCAAAATGGGTGACTTCGTGCAGCAGCACCACACCAGCCCAAACCAAGGTGTTTGCCCAGCCTTCCAGTTTCACCCAGCAGAGTAAAGATTCCTGGGATTTAACCTTCACAGGGAAAGTAACTTTGAAAGGAGACCATTCTGATTTTTGTTCTCTGTATCTTATGTCTGCCTGTTGCTGTCTACGAAAAGAAATCTCTTCTGTTCAACTCATCTGGACACATATTCTATTTAGAATGTGAGTGTTGCCCAGATTCTAAGAATGTGACGAAATTAATTAAGGGCTGAGGCAGTGGTGGCTTACACCTATGAATCCCAGCACTTTGGGAGGCTGAGATCAAATTGGATCACTGGGGTCAGGAGGTTCGAGACCAGCCTGACCAATATGTTGAAACCCCCTTTCTACTAAAAACACAAAAATAAAGTGCCAGAATTGGAGAGTTGCAGTGACTGAGATCGTGCCACTGCACTCCAACTTAGGCGACAGAGCACAGATTTCATCTCAAAAAAAAAAGTCAATTAAGACCTTTAAAATATGTTATAATTTTGTGACAGAATGAATGAGTGAACTGGTGAATGAACATGCGGAAGGTTTCCATCAGGCCATCTGGCAAACTCCTACTCACTACAAAACCCAGACCTCCTTCTCCCAGACCTTCCCTGCCCCACCGCCCCCCACAGGCACCTCCTGAGCACTTCTCACACTGCTCATTTGCCCAGGGCCTTGCTGTGTGTCCGCCTCAACCAGATATCTTCTGGGCTCTTCACTGCAGTGCTCTGAGCGGCACTATTATTGCTCCCATTTTAGAAACTGAAGCATGAGCGGTGCTCTGTCACATGTCTGAGTGGCAGGCTTTTCTCCGCGGCTAGTGACATCATGTGTGAAAGCTCTTCATGGAATCTTGGTGGAATCACCTTCCTAAAAGACAAAGAATGGTTGCTGGATTGTTTGATTTTTTCTCCCCCTCAACAAGTTTTGGAAACAAGGCTGCAGAAGACACAGGGCTCTGGGTAGCCCGGGAGTTAAGACTGCTCTGGGCTCAGGTTCTCTGAGCCTCAGTTCCCTACCGAGGGTGGCAGGCTCAGGAGGCCTCGCCCGCCTGTGACTGACGGCGCTTGCCTCAATGTCAGGTCTGTGACTCGGGCCGCCCGGCCGCGAACCCCCTGGGATGAAGCTTTGCTGACACCTGAGTAGCTGCAGGGGCAGTGGACCCTTGAGGACCAGTAAAAGTCTCACCGGTGCAGAGACCAGGAGGGAACTGTAGCTCGAGAGGAGGACATGAGCACTCCCCACGCGAGAGAGAAAGAGAGGACGAAGGAGGACAGCAGAGCCTCTCTAGGAAGTCCCCAGAAGGCTAAGTCGGAGGAGGTGAAGGCGTTGGCAGAGTCCAGGGTTCCCACAGGGGCTGCAGAGTGAGTCTCTGTCCCGTGTTTCTCCCTAAAGCTTCCACAGGTGGGTGGCCAATAATCTGCGGACATCACCTTGCAGAAACATCACCCAGCATCATCTTCACGCAGCATTCTCCTGTGCGTAGCTGTCTCCACGTTTCCCGTTTTCATAGACACAGTCACATTCAATAGAGGCCCACCTACTCCAGTGATCCACTCTTTATGTAAATGTTACATTTGGCCAGCGTGGTGGCTTTCATGCCTGGAGTCACAGCACTTGGGAGAGTGGAGACTGGAGAAATTGCCAGGCAGAGTTCAGACAAGCCTGGGCAATACAGTGAACACATCATTGCCGCCAAATCTCTACATAAAAAATAAAAGGTTAGCAGGTGTGTTAATGCAGGCCTGTGGTGCAGGTTCTCCGAGAGGCTGAGCAACAAGGATCGCCGAAAGCCCAGTAGTTGGGGCTGCAGTGAGCTATGATTGTACCCACCACACTCCAGCTGGACAGCAGGTGGACCCTACTCGCTTAAACAAAACCACTTACCAACTGACCCAGTTTCCAAATAAGGTCCACATTCTCTAAGGTACTAAGGATTGGGATTTCAGCATATGAATTTGGGGGGTTCTCATTCAATCCATAATAATCACCATTGCTCTACTCTCAAACTACATTACAATGCCCAAGAGTGAGCTAGGACAGGAATCTATCACACTGCATGCCCTGTATCCTAGTCAGTTCAGGAGTGAAATAGGCACTCAATAAGTTTTTGGATGAAGAATCAATAAAAAAATGTATAGAAAAAATAACATTTATTTAAAATGTGTCGTTCCCTTTATAGTGTCTTTACTCACTTTAACAAGGTTTTCCATGTACCCCCACATCTCTGCATTCAACCACACAACGTGCAGCACGTGTTTCTCAGAGCTACCAGGCTCCTCCCACCTGGGGCCACTGCACACTTCCACTCTCATCTGGGACCTCTTGCTTTGGCCTCTTTACCCCTGTAATTTCTACACCTCTATGAATCTCAGCTAAGTCTTTTTTCCTCAAGAAGTAGCTTGAACTTTTGTGTGGATTCGTTTTTAACTTTTATTTTAGGTTAGGGGGTGTGTGCGGGTTCCCGTTGCAAGCTCGTGTCATGGAGGTTTGTTGTAAAGATTATTTCATCACCCAGTGCAGTCAAGTATCCAAATGAGCCCTCAGTAGGTAATGGTTGAAGAATGAATGAAGAAATGATGATAAGCTGCTGTGTGAGCACTTACTGCTTTCTTTTTGCTATTATTTATTTATTTATTGCTTATTTATTTTTGAGATGGAGTCTCACTCTGTTGCCTGGGCTGGAGTGCAGTGGCGCAGTCTCGACTCACTGCAAGCTCCGCCTCAGGGTTCCAGCAAATTCTCCTGCCTCAGCCTCTCTAGTAGCTGGGATTACAGGTGCCCGCCACCACCAGCAATTTTGGCATATTTTCAGTAGAGATGAGGGTTTCCACCGTGTTAGCCAGATGGCCTCGATCTCCTGACCTCATGATCTGCCCGCCTCAGCCTCTCAAAGTGCTGCAATTACAGTGTGACCACCTTGCTGACCTTTTTTTTTTTTTTTTTTTTTTTTTTTTATAAAGTTCTGGGATACATATACAGAACGTGCAAAGTTTATTACAGGTATACATGTACCACAAGTGGTTTGCCACTCATCTTCCCATCATCTATGTTTCAAGCCCTACATGCATTTGGTATTTGTCTCAATGCTCTCCCTCCTGTCCACCCACAATAAACCCAATGTGATGTTCTCACTCCTGTGTCCATGTGTTCTCATTGTTGACTCCCTTATGAGTGAGAACATGCGGTGTTTAGTTTTCTGTTCCTGTGTGGTTGCTGAGAACGGCAGTTTCCAGCTTCATCCATGTCCCCGCAGGACATGACTCATTCTTTTGCAGCTGCATAAATGTTCCATGATGTATATGACTGCCACCCAGTTTCACCTTTTTATTATGTCATTTGAACCTTTCGTTTCATTCAACAAGTTTCCACTTTTCCAAATGAAGGGATGCTTCTAAATGAATTACAAAGAAGCTGAGAATTTCCTAAAACATTCCTGAAGAGGAATCTGTGTTATAGGGCAGTGGTCCCCAAATGTTTGGCACAAGGATGATTTTGTGGAGGTACTTTTCACGACTGTGGGCAGCAAGACATTAGATTCTCATTTGAGGTATACCCAACCTAGATCACACGTGCAGTTCCTGTGGTTGCATCTGCAGAATCATCTGCCGCTAGTCTGACCGGGAAGGCAAACTCAGGCTGCAATGCCCACCTCTGTACAGCCATTTCTGTTGGGAGACCCCAGGGTTTGGCCCCTGTTTTGGGGACCTCAACACTGGCTTCTAAACATGATGATCATGAATATAAAGTGGCAAGAGTGCAGGGATACACTGACTACAGGAACCTTGAAAGACAGCCCTTAAAATCACCCACTGCGGGAGTGAGACAGCGTGACTGCGCAGTGCAGCAAGCGGACTCCTTCACAGAATGATTGTGAGACATCGGATGTCCAAAGTGGAAAAAAAAAAAAAAAAGAAAAACTGAATCTCTACCACTTACACACATGCAAGAATCAGCTCCAGAAGGATTAAGAGCATAAATGTGAAGAGCAAAAGTTTTAAAAGTTTGGAAAAATATATTTGGGAAATTTCTGTGTAACCCAAGGGATTAGAAAGAATTTTGTGAGATTAATAGGCAATAGTGCTCACTCCTGTAATCAGCACTTTGGGAGGCTAAGCAAATTGGATCACAAATTCAGTGGTTCAAGACCAGCTGTGCCTTAAATTGAAACCCCTACCCAAAAATACAAAATTTGGGCAGGCATGGTGGTGCTGCCTGTAATCCAACTATACGGGAGGCTGAGCAGGAGAACTGCTGAACCCGGGAGGCCCGGAGGTTGCAGTGAGCCAGGTTGTACCTGCACTCCAGCCTGGGCAACAGAGCAGACTCTGTCTCAGGAAGAAAAAGAAAGAGAAAGAAAAAGAGAACTGTTCAGAGGAGATATGAGCATAAACCTATAAGGAAAATATTGCTGTTTGACTACATTTAAAATTTAAAATATCAGAGATACAAAAATAAAAGTGGCAAGAGGCTGCACCCAGGAAGCAGATATTTCTTTACATGTCTTCATAAAGCTGAATCTGGAACAGAAGGCCATACAACATCGTTTTGCCTTATGCGCCATCCGTATTAGGAAGGTACTGTTTCTCTCCCATCTTCTGAGTAGAAGCATCAAAGCTCTGAAACCAAAGGACTTGCCTGAGCCTCTATCCTGGCCAATGCCCCAGAACAGCGAGGAAACAAACCCAGCCTTCATTCCCAGGTCATTTGCATCACCTTGAGCTAGCTACAACCAGATCCTCACAGCTCAGTAGTCTCTTCCTCATTGAGTAGCTCGGATGTTGTGAATTCTGAAGTACTAACAGTTGCCCACAGCCATATGATGAATGAATGAGCACTCCACAAACAGCATTCTGACCTTTCCCTGAGCTGGAGTATGGGTTTCAGGGTTCTTGGCTTCTCTTGCAAATCAAAAAGACCTTCCCAGACTCAAGGGATAATAATGTGATAATGCTTGAGAATGGCGGGCAGTGAACACATTTTTAAGGCTGGGCCACCCATCACATGCCCTGAGAATGGCTGTGCTCAGCAACCAGCATGTAACAGGGGCTCAGGAGCTCAACCAAGCCAGCCACTCCAGAGCGAGTTTCAAGTCAGACGAAGAAACAAAGGCTCAGAGGTTGGGCACTGGCTAATCCCAAAGTCACAGCTAAGCAGCTGCAAGTTCGTAAGATTCAATAAAGTTTCTGTTGCCTACCCCCTAGCCCAAGATACATGCTGATTCTCATTTCTCTCTCACTGTCTCTCTCTCTCTCTCTCTCACACACACACACACACACACACCCCAGCTGCCTGGGGATCAAAAGACCCACAGCAGACAAGTTGCAGAATCACCCTTTATTCACTCTGGTTGGTCTGGAGGGGTTCCTGGGCAGCAGATCTGGAGTCCTGGGAAAGAGGCATGGTGGGGGAGGGTACTAGTTGGAGGGTGAAAGGCACCACGTTGGTGCCACTGCATGTCGCGGATGCGCGCACAGACACCTGGGGTGAGGGGCCCCAAAGTCTCGCTGCTGTCCTTGTAGTCTCCTTCTCCAGCGGAGTACTGCAGCCCGCAGTAGCCAGGGTACTGGTAGCCAACCCACCTGCAGGACCAGGAGGTGAGGGAGGGTGAACCAGGGAACAGGAAGAGGAAACAAGAGAAGCGAGGAAAACATCCTGTCCACTAGGAAGGGTGAAAGCCTCAACCCTGCCACTTCCCAGGAGTAAGCAGGATACCCTTTCACTCCACCCTTCCAGCCACTGAGCCTCTGCTTTCTTCCCCTTCTCTTGATGTTGGGAGTTTGCCTCCTGACAAATTTTGACTGAAGGCCTGGTGAGGTCAGAGAAAGGGGTGGTATCTTATAACTCACTGGAAGTTTAGAATAAGCCAGACCTTTTTAAAGACCATCTCCATCCCACTCTATTCCACCTCCAAGCCCAGCTGCAAGGCAAAGAGTTGAGGGGAGGTTCCAGGTGTCTTCTGATGAAAGAGGTTCCAGGGGCTACTTAATGAAAGTACTGGTCTTCTCTCCAGAAAATGGCACACAGGCCTGGCCTGCAAGGACCTGCCTGGCCAGTCTCTGTGGACATATCCAGCTCTACTTCGCATTCTTATGCTCCCACATCTCTGCATTCCAATAGTGGCCTTTGTAGAGTTTCTCAGACCTACCAGGCTCCCCCCACATGCACCACAGGGCCTTTGCACATGCTGCTCTCATTGTCTGGGACGCTCTTCCTTGGCCTCTTGTACTCCCGCAATTCCTACTGTTTCTTGAGATCTCAGCTCAAGAATCTTTTCTCCAAGGAAGTAGCTTGAACTTGTAGCGGATTCTTAAATTATTAACAGTTGCCCATTCTAGACTGTTGGCTACACAGGGCAAGCAGATCTTTAATCTCCTTCACCTGGGCACCTAACACAATGCCTGGCATGGCAGCACTGACAAATTGAATGAATGAATGAATGAATGAACGAATGAATAGACTTGAATGAAGGAATGAGAATGAAGGGAACAGAAGCACAGAACTTTGCACACCACTTTAGGAGTTTGACAAACCCGAAAGCCAGTATGCTTGGCTAAACTGGTTCTGTTGGGGGGAAAAGAGCCTTTAATTAACACTGTGATTTCTATGCTGTAAATGCACCCACTGTGGCTGGTTTCAGGCTACCAGTGATTAGTCAACCAGTTCACACAAATTCTGAAAATGTAAGACTTGGTTCCAGGCTGGCGCGGTGGCTGCATGCTGTAATCCCAGCACTTTGGGAGGCTAAGGCAGGCAGATCATGAGGTCAGAGTTTGAAGACTAACCTGGCCAACACAGTGGAAACCCTGTCTCTACTAAAAATGCAAAAATTAGCTGAGCTTGGTAGTGGGCACCTGTAATCCCAGCTATTTGGGAGGATGAGACAGGAGAATTGCTTGAACCTGGGAGGCGGGGCTGCAGACCAAGATTGTTCCACTGCATTCCAGCCCAGGCAACAGAGGCGAGACCCCATCTCAATTAAAAAAAAAAAAAAAAAAAAAAAAAAAGCTGATATAAGCTATTTCCAACACCCTGCCCAAAGCTCATCTATGAACCCCTGTGGGAATCCAAATTTTACCATGAGAAATCTTCATTGCTGATGGCCAGAGGTCGATGTGCCCAGGAACTTCATTCAGTGAAAGTAACCTCCTGTTCCCAAACTTGGGGACACACATGCGGTCAAAGGCAGCATGGGCTGGTCCTCCTGCTTCTCACAGCTTTCCAGACTAGTCAGCTCATTCGTTCCCTCCTGCCTCAACCTAATCCTCCTGCCTCAACTTGCCTCTGACATACATGTCTTGCTTACTGAGGCTGAGATAAGAGCAAGGTTTCTCACTCCAAGGCCATTCCCCAAGCAGCTCACAAGAGAAAATTCAGGGGCTGTAAGCCACCTGTGGAGCAGAGAATTCCCATTTACTTTCCAGTGTGAAGCCAAGAGGTCAACCAGAGAGTATTTACCGATGTGTGCAGATCACCAGTGTACACAGGGCAGAAAGCGGGACTTAGAACCCAGAGTCTGGGTTCCTGGGGCAGGGTGAGCTGGAGCTGACAATGCACTTACATTCCTCTGCCCGCACAGATGACACCTTCTCCTGGTAGCCATGGGCGTGGAGGCTGGGTGCGTCGTCTACCATCTTCTTCCCGGTGAAGTTGGGGTTTCGTGAGTTAATCTTGTGTTCTTGGCTGTCCCTGGTGGCAGAGGATGTGAGGAAGTGAGTATAGGTGATGATGGGGCCCAGGGTTGGCCTTCCCACCCATGCTCATGCCCCAGAGTTGGGATCCATGTCACATCCACTCTCTGCCAGTGCACCTACCAGTGTCTGACAACTGCTGTTGGATCGCAGCCATTTGTTAAGTTTCTACTGGGCCATTTTCATGTAACAGACACTCTACAACACTTTGGGGAATATTTGATTCTGAAATGTCATTTTTTCCTCCTATGCCTCAAGTTTCTCTTTTATAAATGGCAATGATACCACCCACTCACAAGTGCACACCCACACATACACACACACACAGGCACACACACAGGCACACACACACACAGGCACACTCCCAGGCCTACACACACAGGCCACATACATGCACACATGCACACACAGGCACACACACACAGGCACACTCACACATGCGCACACACATGCACACACACATGCACTGCATTGCACACCCACACAGGTGCACACACATGCACACACACGTGCACACACATGCACATACGCACACACGAGCAGGCACACACACATGCACAGGTGAGTGTGCCTCTAATAGACACCTGAGATATTTTGATTTTTCTTCATTTCTACATCTCTTCCCATCCTCCTGTTCCTGTAACATTTTCCTTAGTTATCTAATCCTTTAAACATTTTCAGTTTGAATAAGATTTTCCAGATAGAAAACCCTTATCATAGACATAAAATCTTATGTCATTTGGCAGATAGAAAAACGAGGCACAGAGGTCAAATGGACGCTCAAAGTCCCTGGGAGAGCTGGAACCTTTGCGGCAACATAGAACCTGGGTTTGTGGGGTGTGAAGTCCAGTGTTCTCCCAACCTTCAGTAGGTCCTGGGAGAATCAGAATGGGCTTGGAGGTTTGAGGTGTAACTGAATAATGTTGACCTATCCCCTCCCGACAGTTCACACATAGCTGGTAAGAATCAGGATCTCAGAAGCACTGGAAAACTCACACACTGTGAGTGTTGAAGAGTTAAACCACCTTCTCCTCAGTCTGAACTCAAAATTTTATTCCCAGTGGCTGTGATTATTGAGCAGCTCATGTGATGGAGGTGCCCAGCCCTCAGGAGTGGGGGCTCAACACGTAAAATAGAAATGTGAATAGTGCCATCACAAGGCATTTCACTTGAATGCGCGTTTGGAGCCCCCTGGAGTTGTGCTGGCAATGACAACCCTCAAGCTATCAGCACATTGGAATCTCAGGACAGTAGGCCACGTATGCCCATTTTACAGATGAAGGAAACTGAGGCTCAGAAGTAAAATGACTTTTGCAAGGTCACGCAGTGAGAGGTTCCTCACCAATCAGAAGGCACAATGCTAGAGGCAGGCCTCCTTCCTGGTCTCAGGACCTCATTCCCAGAGTGGCAGAGACAGAAAGTAGGATGATGGGCAGAGAGGAAATGGGAATGATGGCAGGGCTCACCACTTTGATGGGCCTCAGGGAGGCTGAAGTCCGTCCTCCGGCTGCTGGTCCATGAATCCCAGCGAGAATTACTCGCCCTTCTCAAACACACAAACTACTCACCCTTGCAGTTGGCCTGTTCATAACCCACCCAGCTGCCATGAGACAGAGAGAAACAGGGCAAGGTCAGTTCCACTCCAGAAGCTTCCTGGCAGGATCCTGGCTACTCGTTGGCCTGGAGTTCCTGCCCAACTCGGCAAGATGTAAGTAGCCACGAACCTTATGCGGCAATCCCAGCCTTTGATCCCCCAGTTATAGAACTCAGTGCTATGCTGCCTTTAACCACCTGGAGACACAGAAAGTTAAATAGAGAAACGGTCTAATGTGGCCACTTAGTAAGCCACCAACATATAGTACCATGCACTAAAATAATAGTATGCTGGTAAGTTAACAACCAACTCAAAAAAGCAAAACAAAAATTAACACTCTTGGTTGCAGCGTTTGCAATTTCATGGTGAAATGCTCCACACTGTGGCAGATTTCAGCTATGATGCTGCTGCAAGTGGGCTGGGGAGGGTGGGCCACAGTCAGCCTTCACCCTGAGGCAGCCCCAGACCTCAGTTGGCCTTAAACCCTCTCTTTGGATCTGTTCTTCTCTGTCCCTGTTGTTAGACTCTGCCCAAACTCTGTTTTGTGATCCATTAGAAGAAAAATGAGCATTGAAGAGGATGGCCTTCAGTTCAGGCATGTGCTAATGAGGAAGGCAAAGTGGGAAAAACCCACAAATCTCAAAATGATTAGCGTTTACAAGGTACAAATTGCAGAGCAAACATTTCAGCAATGTGCAGACAATGGCTGTTCAGAGAATAATCAAGTTATTAATGTGGAAGAGGAGTCATGTGCTCTCTTTTGGGGAAGGAAATGATCTTGATCAGCAAATTCCCTTTAAGGCAATGGTCTTCAAAACAGTTGTCAGGGCAGCGCCATGGCTCATGCCTGTAATCCAGCCACTTTGGGAGGCTGAGGCGTGATCACCCTGAGGTCAGGAGCTCGGGGACCAGCCTGGCCAGCATGGTGAAACTCTCTCTCTGCAGCCTAAAAATTAGCTGGCACAGTGGTGTGCCCCCAGCAATCCTAGTTATCAGTAGTCTGAGGCAGGAGAATTACTTGAACCAGGGAGGCAGAAGTTGCAGTGAGCTTGAAATCGCGCATTGAATTCCAGCCTATGAGTGACAGAGCACAACTCCATCTCAACAAAACAAAACAAACAAACAAACAAAAAAACAGTTGTCAAAGAAAGTCTAGATATCTGAATAGGAATATTATTGTAGCATTAATTATAATATCCAAGTAACTGAAAAACTTAAACATCCTACAATCAGGGCTGGGTGGTATGGCATATTCAATCATGGACTGTTACAAGCCATGGTAAGTAATGGCATGGATGTTGGGTTATCAAATGTAACTGGTGTAACTATATAGTAAGCTTGTTAAATGCAGATTCCAGGCTCTAGAACTAAGTTTGATTTGATGAAAGGACAACCCATGGGCCAAACCTCATTTTAAAGCATCTCCCTTCTGGGAATCTGATGAATTTTCTCAAAGCAGCTTTGAAAAGCACCAACATGATACTCTTAACAGCATGGAGAAAGTTCATGCCACTTTATAAAATTTCAAAGTGGTAGCCAAAGTATCATGTTTAGTATGATCCAAGTTGGTTGATTATACACACACACACACACACACAGAAGAAGAGAGAGAGAGAGAGAGAGAGAGAAACAGAAAGACAGAGAGAGAGAGAGAGAATGGAATTCCTTTAAAATCTTATAATGGATTACTTCTGAGTGATGAACAGAAAGTCATACAGTTTTGTATAAAACCATATCTTCAGTTTTAACAATAATGATAATTAATAAAAATATTCAATGTTATATTTTAAAAAAGAAAATAATTAAAATCTTTGAGAAAGTTTTTTTCATCAAAAATATTTGAAAGGCAGCTGAAAATCAAAGTGATGCTTAAACAGTCAAAATCTCAGATTATCAGAAAGGGATTCTCTTGGAGCCATAACAGTTCCTGAGCAATCAGATGACCAAGGCTTGGCATAGCCACTGCTTCGCTGTTCCATCTTCAGGTTCAGCCATATGAACCAGTGGAACTCTCTGCAAATTCCCTGAGAGGCCTTGAGGTGTGGTACTTAAGCTACCTTGGATCTCCAGCAGTATCTGACTTACTGACACAGTGGACATTTCCCATCCTAAAGGCAGCCAGAGAAGGAGTGACAGAGAAGCTGTGGTTGTCTGAGCACTCTGAGCTCACACTTAAAAGACCTCCTTAGCTACACGACACAGTGAGTTAACCATTCAACTCCCACTTCTCTCTTGGATGAACTAACCCAATTATTTAAAAATCTGCTAAAAGACCCAGTATTGTCAGGATTTGGGAAGGGGAGGAAGTGGATGAAGCTGGGACATCCATGCAAAACTCTCAGGTCAAGACACTCCTGAATAGAAAGACTAGCAGTTCTAAGCTTCATATGATCCATATACCATCTCTTCCTGCCTTGGCCTCTGTATCAGCCTCTACTGTGCCTCCTTCATCCCCAGGCGCTGGTGTCTGCTCTCCTACAGAGGAAGCTGAAATGAGGGGAAGGTCTGGTCAACTTTCCCAGCCAGAGTGGTGGAGCCTGTAAGGTTGAACCCAGCTGTATCTGACTGCAAGCATGAATTATCTCCTTCCTGCCAGATCCCCAAAACTTGGTCCCAGTTGCAGACAGGAGAATAGCGTGATGAATTCCACAGTCTCACAACCTGATCACCTCTTTGAAGTCTGTGACAGGAAGTGCCCAGTGCCAGTTCAGCCCTGCACTAGGACAGAGCCTGCCTTCTCCTGCTGATCTCCTTCCCAGGTTGGGGCAGGGCCCATTGGAAACTCATCTGCAGTGGCCTTTGAAAGTTTTCCTGCTCAAGGTAGTGATCTGCAATGGGAAGCGAGACTCAGACCCTCACATCATGATGAAGAAGGGTGACAGTTGGCTGGTAGACGTGGGGAGGAGCTCAGGATTAAAGGATGCTGAAGGGTTCACCTCCAGAGTGACAATCAAACATAAAATCAAACAGCCCTGGCTCTGGCTATAAGCAGCTGTGGGACATGAGCCTGCATTTGTCACTCTCTAAGCATCAGTCTCCCCATCTGTAAATGGGAAATAAAAACAGAACCCAGGCCAGGTGTGGTGGCTCACCTGTAGTCCCAGCATTTGGGAGGCTGAGGTGGAGGATTGCTTGGTAGAATTCCAAGGACAGCCTGGGCAAAATGGAAGACCCCCACTTCAATTTTTAAAAGAAAAACATAAAGGTAGGAAACTGCCTTGTGATATTGTTTGTTAGAAGGATTCAGGGGAGCATAATTTGCACACCATCTTGCTCTGCTTGTGGGAGACATAATTATGTTCATTAAGAGATGTGGTACAGTTAATAGTGGCGACTAGAGTGGGCTCAGGCTTGTCTGATGCAGCTGTAATGGAAGCAACAACTTTTGCGAACCTAACAGGTGC